CCTCTGCTAGGTGCTGTGCAAATACAGGACAAAAAGACAGTCCCTGTCGCAGGGTTGTATGTAAAACACTCCGAGCTGTGTCAGGCTGTCACGGTTCAGTGATCTCTGGGATTGATCTGCAGAACTCTAGTTTTTCTGATCGATGATCCTTGGCACACAGGTATTGCTGCCCGTGAGACTATTTTACAATTATTGACTGGAAACCAACTATTGAAGCATTGAAAGCGGGATTACCAATTGCCAGTAAATTCTGTTGCAAATATTCTGAATGACTCTGAAAAATAGTGTACATATCAATATAATTCAAAATAGTAATATTTAAATAGCTATATTTGTTCCTTGAAGGTGTCCCCAAAATGGGAAAAATGGGCTTATACTCTGCTATGATGTAAATGGAAACCAGAAATATGTGCAGTCTAGTTGCTTTTTTGCACCAGAAATTCATACCCCATCTAGTCTCATAAACACACTTGAAGTCAAACAAATTAATGAAATGGTTAAAAAGCAAGAGCTGAGAAAGAAGTTTATCTACGAGAGGGAAAATGATCTATAGTCAGACTGTTTCAAACTTGTTTTTTGTTATTGCCTGTTTAATTTCAACAACTAAATTAACATTTCTGATAATGAAAGCCTTTGTTAAATATTCAGGATCCTTTAATTAAGGTGCTAGCAGTAAACATCCCTCAAAACTGCAAGAAGCTCTCTAGCAAAACCACAGAAAACCACTCTTGCCATTCCTGATTTAACTAAGTTAAAAAACAAGTAGTGTAAAAAAAAAAAAAGCCTTTGCAGTACTATCCTTTTAATATTTGTCTTTTATTTCAGACCTTTGTGTCTACTGAGTAATATTCATTACAAAAATATGATTACCTCAAAAGATTGGGCTGGCAATTTAAATATGTATGATCAAAAAGTTAAAAATACCTGGAGTGCAACTCAGTATTGTAAACCTATTTGTCTGGCCTTGGAGGAATTATATTCTCATTAGTAATGGCTTCCAAGTTATGGAATACAGGATTTTCTGTCAAAGCTATGTCTCTGGCTCATTTTCCTTTCTCTGCAGCTATATCTGAGCATGAAACAAAGCATGTAAGAATTGGTTTCTTTGTTGGTGTCCTCATCTCCCCCTCACACTGATATTCACTTGCTCGTGTACAGAATTTGAAACTGCTGAGACGCTTCTAAATTCAGAAGTGCACATGCTTCTTGAGCATCGTAAACAACAGAACGAGAGTGCTGAGGATGAGCAGGAGCTCTCTGAAGTCTTCATGAAAACTCTGAACTACACGGCTCGCTTTAGCCGCTTCAAAAACCGAGAGACCATTGCCAGTGTCCGTAGGTGAGTGAGAGCGCCAAGGAAAGATGAGTTATTGTAGTGTATGTTCTATATTATGAAGTTGAAACATGTTAATTATTTCCAGGAACAGGGTTGTTCTAGAGATCTTAGTTGTATATTTCTGGGGGAGTGAGGGACTTAGTAAGATTCCATTAGAGCAGTGGTTCTCAAACACCTTTGCATTGGTGATCCCTTTCACACAGCAAGCTTCTGAGTGCTATTCCCCTTATACATTAAAACACATTTTAAAAATATATTTAATGCTACTATAAATGCGGGAGGCAAAACATGATTTTGGGGCTGGAGGCTGACAGCTCACGCAATTCCATGTAAAAAACTTGTGACTTTTGAAGAATCATGACGTCCAGGTTGAGAGCACTTGTATTAGACTGGGTAATAAGAGGCCCCAGGCTGAGCCCCCAGAGCTCTTTTGGTATGATATGATAATATATGATAATAGGTTGTGGTAGATAAAAGGACTTTTCTAGCTTTTCTTTTTTGGAGGCTTGCTGGGGTTATCGTGTATGACTTTTTTTTCTTACTAGCAATAAGAGTTATATTCATAATAAAAAATTACAACTTATATTGCTCTTTTTCTCATCTCCATTCCTTATTCACAGTTCTGTCAGGAGAATGTCAGCAGTTTAGTTTCTTTCACATTCTTTTCCTTTCTTCTTTTTTATTTATTCTGTTTTATCTCTACCCTTACCATTTTCTTTTTCTGTAGTTTGTTGCTCCAGAAAAAGCTCCATAAATTTGAATTGGCATGTTTGGCTAATCTGTGTCCCGAGACAGCTGAGGAGGCCAAGGCTTTGATTCCCAGGTGAGAATTTATGACTTAGGTTTTATGATTTATGGGTTCCAAGATGCAGGAATAAGTGGAAAACTGAGCTGATCTATTGTTTCCCATTTGTAGTCAGCATTTCATAGCCACTGTGGGATGGCCTACAAGGTACAATTCTGCATGATGTCAGTCAGATATCTTTGTTTACATCTGTTCCTGAGTATGGCACCCTTCTAATTTCATATCCTGAAACTGATCAGTAAAAAAGTGGTGGGAGGAAGGTATTAACTGATTAATTGGATTTGAGGCACCTGACAATTATAGCATGGGGCTTTATTGTTATCTGTGTATTATAACTCAACAGGAAATGGGAGATTTTTTGATAAATGGTGCAATGCCAGATGGTACCAAATATGTGTAGAAACATGAGGAATTCTGGATATTAAAGTGAAATCACAGGGAAGAGGCTTGTTTCGATCATTATTGTTCTTATCTTGCAGCCTAGAGGGCCGGTTTGAAGATGAAGAGCTACAACAGATTCTTGATGATATTCAAACCAAACGAAGCTTTCAGTATTAGGGCTAATTACAAGCCCTTATTATGAAAAGGAAAATCCGAGAATTTCTGATGTCTCTGTGCATACCTGTCAATCTAGCTAGCTCCAGGACAGAGGAAAGAAGAGTTCCTGATGCAGAGTACTTGAGCCTTGGGTCCCACATGGACACATTCAAACCGGGGACCATTCTTTGGCTTCATGAATATTATAAACTTGGCAAAGACTCATTTGTGGTGAGAGCCATGGAATCCTGGAAACTCCTGTCTAGGTGGTTTCAATACTTGTTTCTCCTAGCTCCCTGTCTCTGCCATGGGACACTTCAAATTGTTTTGGCTACAGGGCCTAGAATAAGAATAGGTGTAATTTCTCTTTCTTATGAACTCCAGTTATTTAAGATGGAGAAATTTTGTTGCCATTGGTTGTTGGAAATCTTAGTAGTTTGTAGAATCATGGTTAATAAGATTCTAAGTGTCTTTTGAAATGCTAGTTCATTATTTTTTTTTCTCTTTAAAAGTATATGTTCATTGTGAATTAAAATGTGAAGTTTCTTATTATATTACTATGCTTTGTCTGATTCCTACTTTAAGTCCTATTGAGATATGCTTTGATCTGGAAGAGAGAATAGTGTCTGGGAAGAGAGGAAGAAAGATAGTATTCTTGATTCAGATATCAGTTGTCATTATTACATCAATATGAACTTAATTGTGGTTGTGATGAGTTGAATCACAAGAGACCTTGGCATTGTCCCCCAGTGTGCTGATCATGCCATTGACACTCACCTTCTTGCCCTCTGGGGCTCTCCACCACCCTGTCCTACTCGCCAGAAGTTCCGGTCTCCCTCAGCCAAGGCATAAGGTAGATATAGTATACTTAGATTTTCAGAGTGCCTTTGACAAGGTCCCTCACCAAAGGCTCTTGTGTAAATTACATGGCCATGGGATAAAAGGGAAGGTCCTTTCTTGGATTGAGAACCGGTTAAAAGACAGGAAACAAAGGGTAGGAATAAATGGTAAATTTTCAGAATGGAGAGGGGTAACTAGTGGTGTCCCCCAAGGGTCAGTCCTGGGACCAATCCTTTTCAACTTATTCATAAATGATCTGGAGAAAGGGGTAAGCAGTGAGGTGGTAAAGTTTGCAGATGATACCAAACTGTTTAGGATAGTCAAGACAGAAGCAGACTGTGAGGGACTCCAAGAAGATCTCACCAAACTGAGTGATTGGGCAACAAAATGGCAAATGAAATTTAATGTGGATAAGTGTAAAGTAATGCACATCGGGAAAAATAACCCCAACATAGGTACAGTATGATGGGGGGCTAATTTGGCTATGACAAATCAGGAAAGAGATCTTGGAGTTATCATGGACAGTTCTCTGAAAACTTCCACACACTGTGCAGCGGCGGTCAGAAAGGCAAATAGGATGCTAGGAATTATTAAGAAAGGGATAGAAAATAAGACACAGAATATCTTACTGCCCCTGTATAAAACTATGGTATGCCCACATCTTGAATACTGTGTACAGATGTGATCTCCTTACCTCGAAAAAGATATTTTGGCCTTGGAAAGGGTTCAGAAAAGGGCAACTAAAATGATTAGGGGTTTGGAACGGGTCCCATATGAGGAGAGGTTAAAGCAACTGGGACTTTTCAGTTTAGAAAAGAGGAGACTGAGGGGTATATAAAATCATGAGTGGTGTGGAGAGGGCGAATAAAGAAAAGTTATTAGTTCCCATAATAGAAGAACTAGAGGACACCAAATAAAATTAATGGGTTGCAGGTTTAAAACTAATAAAAGAAAGTTCTTCTTCACACAGCGTGTAGTCAACCTTTGGAACTCCTTGCCAGAGGAGGCTGTGAAGGCTAGGACTATAACAGAGGTTAAAGAGAAGCTAGATAATTTCATGGAGGTTAGGTCCATAACAGGCTATGAGCCTGGCCTCTGTTTGTCAGAGGCTGGAGAGGGATGGCAGGAGACAAATCACTTGATCATTGTCTTCGGTCCACCCTCTCTGGGGCACCTGGTGTTGGCCACTGTCGGCAGACAGGCTACTGGGCTAGATGGACCTTTGGTGTGACCCAGTATGGCCGTTCTTATAATGTCCCCCTGCAGAGCAACACAAATGCTGAACCAGTTCAGCTATAAGGGCTTAACACCCAGGAATATAGACCCCAAAAGAGGACCAAAACCCCAAATAAATCCATTTTGTCCCATATAAAAGTTTTACATAGAGAAAGCTCATATGGTCAGTCTCCTTTATCAATGAAAGGCAGAAATGCACAGTGGTTGTTTCTCCAACTCTACCCCCCCCCCTCGCCTCAGGTAACAATTATTTACACCGGGCTTGATAATAATTGTTTTTATTAAGTATAAAAAGTAGGACTTAAGTCATTGCAAATGAAAACAGATACATGCAAATTCTTAGTACATTTGAATTTTAACGAGTTTCTTAGCCGGTCATCTGAAGAAGTGGGCTGCGCGGCACAAAAGCTCATTATACCATCCACATGTTTTGCTATAGTATTTAAAGTGCTACCAGACTATTTGTTGTTTTTTAAGTTTATCCTGTACAGACTAACTCGGCTACCCCTCTGAAGTTTTTTTACCATAAACTGTCCATCTTAGGTAAAATGTTTTAGGTCAGAGTTGATCTTTATTCTGGCCTGGAATAAAGCTTTTTTCAGAGGTCTTTAGAGTTCTTTGTTTTCAGGTTTCTCCATGTATATCCTCTTAGAGTGGTTGAGGCAATTTCAAAGGCCAGCTGAAGACAAAGACCTGATAGCTTTTCCCACAGGGTGGGAACCTGTTGTTTAACACTCCATAGAAAAGTACCACATCCAAGATGGATTCCAGTACCAAGTGGCATGGTCACGTGTCTTTCTAGGATCAACCACTGTTTGGACTTACAGGACAAACAAGATTATTCATGTCTCAGGGGTGTAGCCGTCTTAGTCTGTAACTTTAAAAACAACAAGCAGTCACGTGGCACTTTAGAGACTAACACATATATCATGAGCTTTCGTGGATAAAACCTACTTCATCAGATGATTTGGGAGTGGAAATTACAGATTCCAGAGTATATATAACAGCAAAAGCAGTTACCTCTCCATTGTGGGATCACTGTTAATGATGCTAATTGAGTCTGGCTGGATGTGTCCCATTTATAGCTTTTGATGTGTGAATGTGAATATCAAAGGCAGGGAAAATTGCCTTTGTAGTGCACATTCAAGCCCAAGTTGCTAGTGTTGAATTTGTAAATCAGTTCCAGTTCAGCAGTCCTCCTCCGTAATTAGGTGATAAAATTCCTTTATAGAAAAATGACTAATTTTAAATCCATTATTGACCCTCCAGGGAGGTTAAAATGTTCCCCTACAAGTTTGTGTGTTACCATTCCTGATGTCTGATTTGTCCATTAAGCCTTTGCCTGACTCAATTACCATCATTAACACTAGTCCTATATAGGGATGTTAAAAGACTAGTTGACTAGTCAATTACCCTTTCCCTTGCTGCTTCTATGATAGTTTCTCAACCTTTTTTTTTTTTTTATAAAATACTCCCTTAAAAAAAAGATTTATAAGTACCCCCAGTACCTAGTTTTCAGACACACAATTTTTTTCTACCATTGCAACACATTTGTTTAATCAACTTAATTGTAGCTGGGTGGGCGATTAAATTTTTGGATGTAAAAAGTACAAAAATAATAAAACGCTGTAAAACTTTCATTATTGACCCTCCACTGCCTTGGCTTTTTGAAAGGGCAGTGCCACACAGCTAAGTTGGGGATCAGCTGTGCAGCAGCTATCCCTTTGAAATGCTGCCTTTGCGCATTTTCAAAGGGGCAGCTGTGGAGCCCTGGGGTCAGATGGAGACTCCTTAGCTGATCGTGGGATTTCCCCAGAATCCAGGGTAAGCTGGGGAGTCCCCAACTGATCCCAGGTTCTGCTGAAATGCTGTGCTTGCTGTGCACAATCGGGGTCAGCTGGGAAATCCCCAGCTGACCCCAGGCTCCATGGTTTGAAATGCACAAGAGCCCCTGCTAGGGACTGTTGTGCATTTCAAAGCAGGCACCTATGTGTATCCTGGATTCAGAGGGACTTGGGGGATGGAATTTGCTGGCTGCTTTTGGGAGAGGTGCTGGGCCGGGACAGGGGGTGAGCCTGTCTTAGCCCCAGTGCACCACCACCTGAGGTAAGCAGTGTCCAGCTCGAGCCCATAACCATACCCCAGTCATGAATCCCCTCCTGCACCTCAAGCCCACGTCCTCGCCCTGAGCACCCCTGCGTCCAAATGTCCTCCCAGGCACTGCACCTAGAACCCCCTCAGGCACTCCAACTGCCTACCCCAAGCTCAGCTCAGAGTCCCTCCTGCACTCCAAATCCCTTTATTCAAAATGGGGGGGATAACAGTGGCTACCACTTTTCAAAGAAGACCAGAAGCAATAAAACACACAAGATGGTGGGAAGAAAACTTCTAGACCAATAAAACCTTTGTGAGTAGCTACTGTCTGATAGAACTGAACTGCTGAATATGAAATAAAGTTGTTGATAATGCTGTATACAAGGATGTCATTAAAATATTAAAATTATTCAGAGATGTTGTAGGAATTTTATGACCCCTTGAATTAGCCTTACGAAAAGATAGATTCATTGCACCTTGGAAAGAATAGCTTGAATTACTCAGATATATTACTAGTTCCTAAACTGTAACTGCTCAAGAAAAAGACTGGGTCACCCTTGTGGACAGCTTATTAAAAATGTCTGGTCAGGGTAGTGTTGATAGTCAAGAAGGGGTAAAATACATAACACAGTATGTGTGGGGAGCTGGAGATAGCACCAGAGCCGGTAGGGGAAGGAAAGGCGAGTGGCCTCATCTCCCCTGGACAAGAGTTTCTGCTTCACCTTTTTCTCCTGCTGCCATTGATTTAGGTGACTCTGCCTCTTGGGTATTCTCTGTGCTATGTGGCTTCGGCCAGGTGGCATAAATGGAACCATGTGCGGCTGGGGTTTGTTATAGGTTTGTTATTTTGCAGAGTACGTTAGACTTAATCACAATATGATCCAATCTCCTGGTTTTATTGGCCTAAATTTATTCTTTGCATAGCAAAACTAGCTGACCCAGTATAATCGGAACTCTCATCATTTTAGATGGAGAAAACCATCAAGTTTTGTTTCTTCAGAGATTAGATGGTATTTCTCTTTTGATGTGTAACTTATGGCTTGCAGTGAGGCCTTCTTACTATGATTAAGTAGATCTACTTAATCTAGTCCTTCTAAGTGACACTATCCTGAGTTTATGTATCATCTCTTCTCTAACCATATTAAAATGCACTACAAAGTCTGATGTAGGTAAGTAAACTTTTGCCCTGTTTTTCTGTAGTTAACCAAACTCTCTCAATTAATTTTCTAATTAAAAGTATGCTCCTAGAGGGAGAGCTGAAACTGACCAGAATCTACCCTTCCTGGTTTCCCAGGGTGCAGATTTGGTGCTAGAATACTTTCTGACATGGAAAGCCAGGAAATAATTAAATTCGTTGAGGGGAAAGATTAAAAAACATGAACGA